TCAGATAAACTGGCTTTATATTAAATAAATATAAACCAGATGAAAGACATTAGCATTAATACTATGTCAGTAAATACCATATTTTCAAAATACATTTTATATGATAACGAAGATAAATATATATAAATTTTGCTGATTAGATTGAGCACATATATGAAAGACGAGGCTAAGTAAGATTCTCAGACTAACTAGAAAATATCATCCGCTTACACCGTTGCTACAAAATTGTACTTATTGTACTTATATTCCTTTGAGTCAGAATAAAGGGGGAAAATGTTAATTATGTATATAGTTTGTTCTGTAGTACTATTTTACCTGAGAAGTCAAATATGAAAAAAATTATAATAAGAGAACTAGTTAAATATATAGACATAGCAAGGTAAAAATGACTGAATAATATAGAATAGATTTGAGAAGGTAATAACTCGTACCATAAATATGCGTCGAAAAATTCAATTAATTTACGATAACATAAATACTCACAAGTTATAAGAGATTAAATAGGCTCAAAACACATGAATAAATTTATTTATATTTAAATAAAATATGTTTTCGAAACAGAAAATGTATTTTCGAATTCTTTAGACAAATAAACTCATTTTTTTGAGACAAAAAATGCTTAAATTTTTAAATATCTTCAGTAATTTAATAAAATAAGTTAATGCATAAGGATTCATCGCTAAGTCTGCTAATAAAACGAAAATACTATAAACAAATAAAGATATCGAAGACATTAGTATTGTATTAACCATTAGAAAATGTAACAGCAATCAAAAACCTACCTTCAAATATCCCTGAGCGTCCAACAAGATATTCTCTGGTTTCAAATCTCGATACACCAAATCTAAATAGTGAAGATATTCCATCGCAAGTACTACTTGTGCAGCATAAAATCGTGCATGACTTTCGCTATAAATTTATTCATAAAATAGTACCAATTTTTACCTAAACCTAATTTTCTTTCTGAGATGTAAAAACATTTCTCCTCCGTTTGCGTATTCTAATACCAAATAAAGATTGCTATTGTCCTTTTTATATAAAAGAATTAACTATTACGCACCTTGAAATTGAATTCTAAATTAACAAGGAAGGGGAAGGAAACGGCTTGCAGAATTCTTTTTTCATTAAGTGTATGTTCAACTTGTTTAAGTTTTATAACCTCGAATCAAAAGTTTAGATTGAGTACCTTTTGTCTATCAAGTATCTTCATAGCAAAGTAATCACCAGAATCAATTTTCTGAGCCAGCATAACACGACCAAACGATCCAGTTCCAAGTGTTCTGGTAAGCTTAAAATCATTTATTGACGCAGT